GATACAGCCCGGACGATACACTAGACTCAGTATGAGGAAGCAGGATCTCGGACTATGTCTCAACGAGTTAAGTTTTGCAGACGACGTTGCAATGCCTGCCTCCACAATCGAAGGAGCTGACCGTCAACTATCGTATCTCGAGGAGGATGGAAAAATTGCAAATCTCGTGATAGCACCGGAGAAGTGCAAGAGACTGTGAGTTAACCTGGAGAGTAAGGAAGGCAGCTCGGAAAAGTCAAGGATTAAATGCACTGATAAATTGAGTATCCTCGGTGCCATAATCGATGGCAAACGGGATAATGAAACCCATATTCGTAGGCGCATGCAACTCGCGGGGCAAAGAATGGCAAGACTCCAGAAAGTGCTGGTCTCCTTGTGCTGAGTATGTCGACCTTATAAACAACCCAAATTGCCCTCAGCTGTTGGTTTGTCGCCTGGCCGAAGACGGCCGAGAGCGAGAGAGAGAGAGAGAGACTCGGGCATTCGGCCAAAAATCGACGAAGGTGATGCGATGCGGGCCGGCCATCACCACACACCGGGCTGGCTGTCACCAGAGAAAGAGCGCGCGCCCTCCGACCGCGCATCTTCCCGTCATTGGGTTTGCACGGCCTACGGCCGTGCGATCAATCAATCAATCATTTCTGAGCCGGGTGATTTACCGAAGGTGGTAGCAGTCGGCCATTTCTTGTCAGGTTTTACCCGGGGTAAAACGTCGACAAGTTAAGATCAGTAATCCTAGGTGATTTCGTCGACAAAGTTCGATCATGGAATTTAAGTGATGACCAACTTCAGAGTCGGGTCAGTTCGGGACTGATGGTGTGGTCTTTCGCCCTGGGATTCTGTGACCGACTTCACTAGGATCAGCTTAGTCACCGTCATGGCTTTCTCCCTCACCTTTTCCTCTCGGTATTACCACTAACTACAGTTGGCCTCGTCACCAACAGCTTCCGCAGTACGGCCGGCGACATCCCCAGGATACTGCATATCGTTGGGGCTGGCAACAACCCTCCAGGGCTCCAAGAGCTCTCTGATGCCTGGCAAAAGTTTTTCCCCGAGCCGCTCTACCACCACCACTACTGGGACGTTCTTGGTCCCGATTCCACGATCTGCTTCAAGAAGCACTTCCCCTCCTACCTACCACTCTTCCTCAAACAACAGGTCTCGGTCCGTGTGGAGTCGCTGCGATCGCAGCTATATATCCCATTATGATACTCATTCCAATGACTCCGAGATCATCGATGGATAATGCGTGAGTTCTGTCAACGATGTTATACCATATCACCTGTTCAAGATACTATCGTCCATTGTTTTCAGCTCGTCAGGGTCCTAGTGTATCTCCCATTATGATACTCATTCCAATGACTCCGAGATCGTCCGTACATCAGCAGCCTCATTTCATTCCTCTCCAATTCGAAAAGAGAACTGTATTATGGCTTCATTGTTACCCGAGTTTCGTTAAGCGACTAGTACATGTCAATCATGTCAATGATCTAGAAACTTCGAGACCTGCGCATGATATTTTAGATGTGATATCCAGATCGGGACTCGAGACTCTGAGACTAGCGCAGTCGCACCCGTCGTAGACTACGACTCGTAGTCATATCGCGTACTGCAGACGCTGTTCGACGTGTTCCATGCAGCTATTTACGATAGCTCATGCGATGGGGACTCAGTCGCCTGGGAGGCGCTGGTATTGCAGAGAGAGCTGCAATTGAAGCAAGGATGCAGATGTATGTGCACGATGAACTACAGAACTTTGGCCTTCAACGGTGACATGGGAACTGTGGTGAACTTTGTCAATCTAGAGTGTTCCCAAGTGTGTATCTATGACCAAGAGCCCACTGCAAGCAGCCCAGGTGTAGTAGTATTGCTCGATAGAACGGGGCAATCAGTGTGCTTCCGAGCTGCGAAGCAGGAAATAGAAGGTGCGGGCGGTGATGTGCTCTATAGAATACGGAATATCCCTCTCGTTGTCGCTGCAGCTACCACGGTCCATAAGGTGATTGGACTTAGTATGAAGAACATTGTTGTAGACCTCGCATATGAGGATACTAACCCCGGGAGAGCGAATACTAGAATCCACAGAGCGGCTCGGCGTTCTCTACAGAGTGAATGGCTCCACGGTCTTCTCTACACTGCAATGTCGAGGACCGGAACTTCTAATGGCATCTTCCTCAAGTACGTCGGAATGAAGACCTTCTGCGAGAAAATAACGTTTTCTCCGAGCGCCGTGAAGTTTGAGAGGTATTGCCTGGACCATAACCGTCTCTCGCTCAACACAAGCAACTCTATGGACCATCTACGTGCAGTGAGAAGTTATTCGTCACGACCATTGGATGGTGATAGGCTGGCCGGAACCAACGTCTCAAGCGAACAAGCTACACAGCATGGGACAACCGAACAGTCTGAAGATACTAGAAGTGCTGAGGAATCGTATGCGGGGCTCACTACACCGCAGAACGGTCCTGCGCATAGTACTTCCACGCCTCCATCGACGGGTAACTTGGATGCTGCCAATATCAACACCCTCCGATCATATCGTTTTGTACCTCGGGACCAATTTCTCCCTCTGCTACGCAGTGAGCTCGAGTTACAGAGCTCTGCGCTATTGGAGAGTGTCACAAGACGGTTCATGAATATCATTGTGAACTCCTCAAGTGCTGGGTTGCTCGACTCCTCAGTGAGGAGTCCTCACTAGGCCTCGGCCCTGTCGATTCGATCAGTGCTGACGGTGAGCGTATTAGACGCGCGCGAATGAGGAATATATATGACATGGCTCAGAACAATAGCCTTTCTTTCGAGTCGATGATGGCAGATAGGCCGGCGAGGGCTATTCTTTTGATAAATCAGATGCATGCCCAAGCTCAAGGAGACGCTTTTGATCGTCACTATGCCTCTCAAGCTCCTGGATCCACAGCCGGCGATCAATCGGTTGATTCGCCTGAGGCGCCTGCTACTCACGATCTCAGCGGCAATGCTCATACATCGAGAATGTGGAATACTTCTACTTTTGGCGAGCCACCTATGGACAGTTGGTCCTCACCTCAGACTGGGGCCCAACCTGAGTTTGGGATCGATCGAACCCCCTTCTACGATTGTGACATAAACCATGACGAAGCTGGCCCGACCGAATACCGCACACCCCGCAACATCCCGTCGTATAGCCCTCGCTTACCGCTCAGTGAAGCGCGTATACCATCGGATCCTGATGTGGAGTCCACAGGGTTTCAACCGTCTCCACAAGTCCAATATACTTCCTCGGCCGTATCGCCTCTGGTTTCCACCACTGGAACAATAAGCGGATTTGATTCATCGTTTGAGTCTGACTCATCATACATCGAATCAGAATCTAGTGTAGGCTCGTCATCGGACGAGGAGGATGTAGGAGGAGAAACTCATATGGGTGACAACTTCCCCGTAGCACCAGAATGTGAAGTTGGCGATAAGTGGGAGGAGCAACCTTTTCTGACTTTGCGGGGACCTATTGATGATGTGCTGGAGTCATACTTAGCCGAGCGACCTTTTCTCATCCGATCGAAGAGTAGGAAAGAGAGTCGCATGAGACAAGAGCTGTGGTGTTTCCGAAGATATCAAGGAGAGGTTGATACTAGTACTCTTGGGCGTAAACGTGCCACATGGAAGAGATGGCCACAGTTCACGTGTCCCTTATCCAAGACCTTCGTTGTCGAGAGCGGTCCACCAGGAGATAGGGCGTGCTTCTTTTATGGTCTTCGCGAGGCCAGAAGGGCTCCAGTTGAATGGTTGGGACATCAGCATCCAAATGGGACATGGCGGTGTTTATCGGCGACAGTTTCTCCGGTACTCGTTGATGCTGCCGCTGCGGCTCTTGCGGATGATCCATCATTGAGTCCCTCGGAGTTATTGGCGATATGGGAGGGAGACAGAAAGCGCGACGAATACGGGGATGATGAGAGGCGGTGGCTCGAGAAAACCGAAGAGGACGAGGATCATCCCTCCTTATCCGGCAACATAAGAGATTTGATAAGCGCTATCACGCACAGAAAGCAGCACGGATTGCGAGTAGACAGGTTCTTAGAGGAGATTCAGAAGCCAGCCACAGAAGCCGAGGCGGCCGGTGGTCCTGGGTTGGCAGAGAGGATTGATGCAGTCCTCAGAGCTACCGGCGGTAATGGGGCAGATAACGACATCAGAGCTCTCGACTATGCGGATACCCTGGTTGTCGCTGGGGATCCAGTGATCGAGACTGACTCCTCTGACGCGACCGTCAGACTCACGATAACACTGAGCTCGGCTCGCATGATCTGCAACTACTTATCGTCTATCCAGATAAGTACGGATGTTACGTACAATTTGGTACTCGGTAAGCTCGCGATAGTGACCATGTGCGGCCTCACGGCTTCTGGCTCCGCCAGGCCGTGTTTTATTTCTGTAATCTGTACTGAAAACGCGGAAAGCATCCGCTGCGCCTTCCGCCAATTTCATAGCTTGATATAGACCACGGGGCGTGCGTTGCCTCGCATATACCGGGTCATACAAGATGGGTCACGATCTATCTATCAAGCGCTCAAGGCTATCTTCTCCGAGCGAGTACAAGTCTCAAGTTGTTTGTTTCACTTTCTACAAGCAGTGAAGCGCCGACGTAGCAAATTTTCGCTCTCTCGCGAGACCTGGAAAGCCTTCAAGAACGATCTCAGGATAGTGGCATTGGCTGAATCAACTCGTGACTTCCGCATTCTGCTCCGCCTTATGCTGCATAAGTGGCACTCGAAAGGGCTGCCAGAAGTTGACCGTCTGATCCAATCTATCAGTGACGGGGGTTGGTTTTCTCCAGATGACTTCCGGAGCCATTGGTCAGCTGCTCACAATGTTTGTAGACTTGGTGGACGGACAAGCAATGGGATCGAGTCGTTCCATCGTTCACTCAAGCGACAGTTTTTACGCGGCAGAGCTATGCGAACATTAATGCAGCTTGGTGTCGCCTTGAGAAGTCTTCCTTTTCGACTCATTTCATCCCACAACCGTCATAAGGTCATGGGGCGAGTTATACATAAGCGGGATAGACGTGAAGCTATCGGCTGCGGACCATGCCTCCCCGTTCCAGACGAATTACCATTGCCACCCGAATGGGCATCTACAGCTATAACTGCGGAAGATGCCATGTGTCTCAGAAGCTCATGCGATACCAGGCGAGCATGCATGCTTTCAGAACACTACTTGTCGACCGAGCCACCATGCAGTGCTCATCTCTTCGTCTCGAGAGACCGACGGTCACCGTTCGTGGTCGAGGGTATCGAAGACTTGGCCTCCCTGGTGTCGGACAGTGTGGCTTTCATGCGTCGAATCAGTGGCTGCTACTCTACCTTCGATGAGGCGAAGCTTATTCTTCGTAATTTCTACATTGTCCGCTACTCTCGAACTGCTGATGTATCTGTGCCCCCGCTCGAGGGTGGTCCTTGTTGCAGCTGTGAAGCATACGCAAGAAACGCTAAGTGCGGGCATTTGGTATATCTAGCTCGTATTTTGGGCATCGACTCCGACAACAATTGGATGTTTCTTGGTGCGAGGCTACAGCGCGACATTGGTCGTAACCGCAGAGGGCAGGTTGAAAATAGTTTGCCGTCGAACGCTCACTATGGGTTTTCCCGGCAGCGGAGACCCATTTCATCGGACACTCCCGCAGAAGACCGCCCGCGGATTCGTATAGTGGGTATTCGTCGCCCGGAACTTCAGACAGGGAACGGCGAAAGTATTGCAACCTAAGGGCCTCTAAACGAGCGCGACATCAATGACGTCATCGGAGCGAGGAGCGTGTTCGATTATAGCAGAACCCTATCGTCATCCATCCACCAAGTAAATAAGAATGGGATCACTTGTCGATTTTGAGTTCAGGTATCGTGGCTCGTCGTATGATGCGCGCCGCCGAATGCGGCTAATATGACACTGCAAGTTGTAGATTGTATATGATTTTCCCAAGCAAAGTGTTGTGTTTTCATTATCGATGATCATGGTTACACTGGCAAACATCTGTCACTGTGAGTTTTTCCCACCGCGCCACAATACAGCTATGATAATCACCATGTTGTTCAGATACGGGATAGAGTCGCCCGGTTTGACAGCAGCATTAGCTTTAGCCGAGGAGGTTCTGGATAAGCTGGGAATGAAGACAGAAGAGCCTCTGCCCGAGACTGTCGAGTGATCGTATTTTTTTGTGTCCGTGCTTTCATATATTCCTTTCAACGAATCCCGGCTTCGTGTTGGTGGCGATCGGGAGGAATGGATGGGAGAACAGCGGGAACATATATGTTGTAACATTCTTCTTGGGAAGGGGCAGCGTCATAATGGGGACTGTATCAAATCCTACTTAGGCATTACAATACGTAGGGACCCAGGCGCCGCGTTCCTCAGCTTAATCGTTATCTCGGGGTTGCTAGTTGCATCGTGCAACCAATACTGTTGGTTTTCTATACACCTCATCGTCGCATTAGAGCTTTCCATCATATTGGCAACGACAACACTTGAAATACTAGCTCCGAAGGATGACGCCGGAGAGAATGGTCATCAAATCTGACGAAATGAATGTAACAATAAGTGTGAAAGTGGATTGTCACTGTGGGATTAGCGGGAGCCCCCCGTTAACTAACACTACTCGGAAGTGCCATTTTGACTGATCTGGAGTGATCTCTTTAAAGAACTTAATCCTCATCCTACGAACTTGAATCGTCGCGAAACTGGCCATCCGGCCATAGCGAGATCGATCCGGAGACACGGACTGATGAGCATGGCACGCGTGCACAAGCACGCATGCGCAACGAAAGGGAGTCGCTCTACAATGGATCTGGCTAGCATGGTGTAATCTGCTGTAATCGACTGTTCTTCACTCTACAGTCGTAAAATATGTGGCATGAGTCAATGCTAAAAATATTCTATGGCTTGCCTAGTGGATCTCGACAAGAATCGATTCTGAACCCTACATTTCTTGTCTAGAGGGAAATGGCACCACGAATAATGCCACGAAAGAAGTAGTTGATCTGAGAGATACATTTGGATCGGATCATGTGGTGCAGCAGCAGCGGCGTGTGGATTATCTATCCTTATGGTAGACATACTGGGGGCCTTGCCCCATCCGGACTTATGGTGTTCTCTTATCCGCTCCCGTAC